ATATATATATATATATATATATACACATATATATATATATGTGTGAATGTGTGTGTGTGTGTGCGTGCGTGTGCGCGCGCGTGTATGATACTGTTCAGAAATGTTAGAGGTCGGTAAGATTTTTTAATGTTTATGGTCAATATTTCAATACATGTTGAATTGTAATTTATTCCTGTGATCAAAGCTGATTTTTCAGCATCATTACTCCAGTCTTCAGTATCACGATCCTTGTGATATCCACATGATTATTATTATCAATGTGGAAAACAGATGTGCTGCTTAGTATTTTGTGGAAACATTTTATTCCAGGATTTTTTTCGATTAGAACTTTTACTGTCACTTTTGTTCAATTTAATGTATTCTTGCTGAATTCAAGTATTAAATGTATTGGTCACACTTTAGTTTGGAGACCAAGTCTCACTATTAACTCCCGATTTGGTGTTTATTAATAGTTAGTAAGGTAGTTGTAGTAGTTATGTTTAGGTATGGGGTAGGGTTAAGGGATCTAGAATATGGTCATGCAGAATAAGACATTAATATGTACTAATAAACAATCAATCTGCTAGCGATGTACATGCTAATAAGCAACTTGTTAAAGGGATACTCCACCCCAAAATGAAAATTTTGAATACTGTTCTGTCAGCCGCACCACACGGATAAGCTGTTTTCATTAAAATCAAAGCGTAAATAAACGTAGAAAACGTATCCATGTGGTGCGACTGACACAGAACAGCATACGCAGTTTACGTTCAGTGAATACTCTCCAAAATGGCGCTACGGTGACGCGGAGGAGACGAATTGTTGAAAGAAGTCTTTATTTTTGTTTTCTTCGCGTACAAAAAGTATTCTCGTCGCTTCATAACGTTACGGTTAAACCACTGACGGCAGATGGACTATTCTGACGGTGTCTTTCATACTTTTCTGGACCTTGACAGCGTCATTTACTTGGCAGTCAATGGGACAGTCACAAGCCTCCTGGTTTTCATCCAAATTGTGTTCCGAAGACGAACGAAGCTTTTACGGGTTTGGAACGACATGGGGGTAAGTGATTAATGACAACATTTTCATTTTGGGGTGGAGTAACCCCCTTTAACTATGACTTTTGTCTCAACAAACTCCTAATTTGCTGCTTATTAATAGTTAGTAAGGTAGTTGTTTAGTTTAGGTATGGGGTCAGATTAGGGACGTATAATATGGTCACGCAGAATATGTGCTTTATAATTACTAATAAACTGCCAATATGTTAATAATAGGCATGCTAATAAGCAACTAGTTAATAGTGAGAATCGGTTCCTATACTAAACTGTTACCATTAATATAATATAATATAATATAACTCATGAATATGGTACTACAAAATTACCTTGACAAAATTATTCTTGACAAATAAATAAGGAAGATAAATGGGTTAATTAACTAAGACACTATTTTCATTCTAATTAAGCACTATTTCTATGTATATTTTCATTACCATAATCATCTGTATGATTTATTCCCATTGTGTTATTGTGTTATTCCCATTGTCCTTATTAGTGTAATAAAAAAAGGGGAATAAATATAACAGTGTGTAAATTAAAAGCCACGATTTCATTACCATTACAATTTATATTTTGTGTGTCTTTCTTTCTATTTTGGTCTTTCATATTAACATGTTCTTGACAGGTTGGGTGAGAATCGTCCAAGCAGGCATCTTACCAGACTTCAGTAATGACGCCAGTGTGTCCAAGGCCACCCTGTTTGGGAAAAGACCCAATAAATGAAACGAACAAATCAAACAAATAAAGTAAAGAAAAACTAAATCAGATTTTATGTTGTCACCACATATTTAGTGATCAGTACCATTCTTGTAACATTGCACTATATGATTCTCAGATCTGGTAAACATGAACACACACACATGACATACTTCAGCAGAGTGGTGCTCTTTTTGCTGAAGGGTCCGATGATTTCGAACATGATCTCCAAAGCGCCACTCTTTCCCAGTGACACTGCATTTACCACTACAAGAAAACACAAGTACACTAATGCCTCACTGTAGTGATGCACTAAAGAAATGTATCAGAAATGCACTACGGAGCACAGAAAACGAGTGAACGTACAGTTGCTTGAGTAGACCCGAAGCACCTGAAGGCACGGCAGCAACAGCTTGTAGTTCTGCAGATTATGCTTCACTAGATTCAGAGTCGCATTCAGAGCCCCGTTCAGACGCGCTTTTACACCAAACTTCCTGTCTGAAGAGGAAGTGATGTCACTGGAAATGGTTCATTTGTCCAAAGATTCAAACAGATAAAAAGATAAATCTATATTCACAAGAAAATGTTTGGATTGTACCAAATCTAGTGTTTGGCAAAGCTAAAACGAGTATAGTTCTGGAGTCGTCTGTACCTTTGAGGCCGACTTTGCCCAGTAGAGAGTGAATGTGAAGCATCAGTTCCTCATTGGCCGGAGGGTCTTTGCTGGAGCTCACCAGCAGCTGCAGCAGAACGGCTGTTCCTCCCTTAGACACAAACACCCCGGTCCTGCGGCCTCCACCTACCACAACAAACACAGCAAAAACACACTGTTTTGACTGAGGTGTCCTGATTAGAGCATCTTTGAGCCGATTCTAGTGTTGAGAACAAAATGACTTTTTATGGAAGTCTAGGAGTGCTACTTAGAAAAAAAACCCTGATTTATTATAGAAATAAAAAAGGTAAACAAAGCCCGACAAATTGACAAATAAAGAGACAATTTTAAACAATAATCAGACAAACATTACAGAAGTTCATGTAGAAATACAAACTCACCAGTTTAGTTCTTATTTTAGTATAATATTAATATTTTCTATTTAGCTTTAATTTCTTTTTATATTTCAGTTTGAGTCATTTTTAATTTTAAGTTTAGTTTTAGTTTTTAGGTTTGACCGTGTAAACCCACATGAAATAAACAAATAAAAATCCATTTGTTTTTAAATGGAAAAGTGTTTTGAACCTTTAGACAAAATGCAAATAAATACATAAAAGTGTTTTATGTTCAGTATCATATTTAATACATACAGCATTTATGGGTCATATAGTATGATATAGTAAAAATATGGCGCTCAGACTCCATATTTTACAAAAATAAAAAAAAAACTAATTTTTATTCAGAGGCCCAAACTGAGCAAAATATACAATTGAGTGTATAATACTGTGTTTTATAATCACAGCTCTGTAGTTTTTATTGTGGGGGCAAAACATATAATGCAATTCAATGATGACTGAGAAATAAAACACATAAACGACCCTCAAAAGCCTGATAATCATATTTAAAACAATTTTTCAAAAAACAAAACAAAACTGATGAATATGTACAGTCAAGTAAATCTAAGCTGCTTCAGTCCAGTAAGTATTTATCTTGAAATATGCAAACAATATAAAAGTTGGTGTGGTATATATTGAGTAAATTGTGTACAACAGCTTATTTGATCATGATGGTAAGAGGTCTTAGAAATGTGGGAATCAAATGATACAGTATGCTTTATAGGGTTAAGTTTGGCATCTAATATTCATATCTGGTTTTAATTGAGCTTTATTTCAATTAACAAAAACAAATCATCGTTTTAGTTTTAATTAACAATGGCAACACTGAAACTCACCCACAGTCAACAGTTCATTCAAGATAGCGAGGATGTTGAGAGTGGTCTGCAAATCTTGCGTATTCTGGACAAAATCAAACGCATTAGCAGCTGAAAAACACTTCAACGTGATCTGAGATGAACAGATGTGATTAAAGTCATCAGTTGTGTGTGACGCTACCTCCAGAGACGACAGAATGATCTCCATCCCACCAGAGCTTTTAGACGCCACCTCATTACGGGTCTTCTCTGAAACATGACCAAACACACCGTTAACAGACAACCCCATGAGTCAACGGCTGTATTTAAATACATACATCACATAGAACATTTATGTACCTGAACAAGTTCCCTGCTCAAGGACAGGCTAGTTGTTGCTTTGAACTGGTGACCTTCAGAGGACTAGACCACTAAGTTTAGCATTATATGTTTTTATTTCTTCCTGATATTTTATTTTTCCCTTTTGTCTTTTTCTGAAACATGTTTAGGCTGTCACATTCATCTCATTTTACACCTTTAAAATCCAATAGCCATGTAGAAACACCTCAAGAAATGTCTCCTTGGTAGAGACCTGGGAACACAAGCGGTAAAGAGTCTTTTATGACTAGGGCCTTGAATGACTGAGATGTTTTAGTATGGCATTCGGCCAACAGAGAGGTGTGTGTGTGTGTGTGTGTGAGAGAGAGAGTGTGAGTGTGAGTGTGAGTGTGAGAGAGAGAGAGAGATCTGCCTCAGTAACAACTGAATCATAATTTTGCATTATCTGTAGCCTAATTCAGACCCTATTGAGTTTGGCTTAACCAATATATATATATATATATATATATAATTTAATTTACATAAGTGATATTATATACATATAAAGCAAATTAAATGCAACCAAAGTGCTTATTTTGTGAAACTTTTGTGAAAATGAAATGTCAAAATATGGGTGAAATAATGTTCCATAGTCATTCGGTGTAACAGATATATTTATGTAAACATACAGTACTTATTTCGACCTGTACTTATTAAAACATATAAAAGAAAAAGTGCTCACACAAAATGTTATTTTTTTAATTATTAAAACCTGACAAATAGTTAAAACCAGTGGTTTGAAGGATATTTGCAAAGACTGGCAAAAATGACCATGAATTAATTTTGGGGGGCTGCACTGTCATCCTTAAACAGAGCCGTTTAATGTTATCTAATGATTCTTGTTCTAAATATGCCTGAAATGATTTTTGGTATATCAACTATTGTTACACTAAATGACATTGTTTTCTGTAAATCGTGGTAAAAATGTGTAATAGTCATTGTTTTTTGCTCAGAAAAAAATAAAATTAAAAAGCAACCATTATAATGTACGAAAAAAAAAAGCTGTATTAAAGGGGTCATATGATGCGATTTCAATTTTTCCTTTCTCTTTGGAGTGTTACAAGCTCTTGGTGCATAAAGAAGATCTGTAAAGTTGCAAAGACTAAAGTCTCAAACCCAAAGAGATATTCTTTATAAAAGTTAAGACTCGTCCACGCCCCCCTAAAACGGCTCGTTCTAACACGCCCACACATTTCTACCTCACTATGTGGGAAGATTTACATAACGCCGCCCAAATGTTCACGCAAAAAAAGAAGGCAAATAATGTTCTTTTTAGCAGCATCATATGACCCCTTTAAACTTTTATTGGTTTGATGCATGAAAACCCCCATTTTCAAGAGAGAAAGAAAGAGACTTATCACACAACATTTGACGCTAAACCTTTGGCAACAATATTGACGTATGTTGACAGGTCCTAATAATAGAGCACAAAGTACAATAGAAGCAACTCAACACATCTTTAGTGACAGACTAAAGACCGCACAGTCACGTTAAAAAAACAACTTGAGGAACATCACAAAAAATATAGCGGTCAAGAACATTATAATCCTGCAGTGGAACTTCTAAAATCAACACCTCGTGAAGAATAAAAAGTTTGGCTGGCGTTAAAATATTGAGTCATGCATGCCAAGACTCCTTTTAAGTAACAAGAGAGACACAGCCGCTCCATCTACCATTAACGGCAAATTAACTTGTTATGTATCCCAGCATGGATGTACACACACACATAAATAAAAAGTGCTGTGCAAATCAGAAACTGGTGACACGGCAGAAGGCTGGAGAGTACACATGTCAGGCTGAGGCGGCGCATGCTTTCAATCACTCTCCAAAGGAAAGAAAAAACCTGAACGCATTTCAAAACGGAGTCAAGTATAGACTAACAAGATCAGCCCGAACCCAATGGTAAGAACATGCTAATAAAAATTTCAAACTAAAATTCATTTAATTGCTCGAGTTCATAAATTAATTACATTTAAACATTTATGCAACCTGAAATACTGTTTTGCTTTCTTTAACTGCTTAGAAATATACTGAAAAATAAAAGGTATTTTAATTTTATTAATAAAAAAAATATTAAAAACAAATTTCACTATTAAATAGATAAAAGAACAATGCATTACATAATCATATTTATTTTAGTTGTTAGACCTTTGTTTAATAGGATGCAACTTTGTTCATTCTTAGCAACATTACTGGTTGAATTTTACTGATAATTTATCATTAAAATGAGCTAAAATTAACCTTATAATTATTACTATTACACTGAAATCCAATATATTTATTAATTTAAATGATGTATTAAATGATAAATTTGAAATACATTTACGAAAGAGATACAGATTTGTTGCAATTAATCGTATTAATTAAAATGACTAAGTCGATTTTATTTGTATACAAATACAGTTTCATAATACACATTACAGCTTTATAGAAAATCGTGATGTTAATGTTAAATACTATAATGCCTAATTTTAGAGTAGCAGAGAATGATATAAACAATCAAGCAGTTGAGATTTGCTATACAGTATATAATAAAACTAACATTTTAAAATTTAAAAGAGATGAAATTTGATTTATCGTCGAGGCTGCTACACTTGTGAACTAGTGCTGTCAAACGATTAATCGCGATTAATCACATCCAAAATCAAAGTTTTTGTTCACATAGTATATGTGTGTGTACTGTTTATATTTATTATGTATCTATAAATACACACACATGCATGTATATATTTTAGAAAAATATGTTATGTTTATATATTAAATATATTTATATATAACATAAATTATATGAATATAAATATAAACATGTAAATACATGTAAATATTTTCAAAATATATATATACTGTATGTGTGTGTATTTATATATACATAAACATACACAGTACACATATATTATGTAAACAAAAACTTTCATTTTGGATGCGATTAATTGCGATTAATCGTTTGACAGCACTAGTGTGAACCTTTTTTAAATAACTAACCATCACGTATCATAAGCATTGTTTGGAAACATTTCACATGAGTAGCAGCTGGAAGAAGCAGCTAAACGTAATGAATGATGCATTTCGGCGTATCTAAATGCGGAGTTGTGTGTGTGTATACACATATCCCGCTCTGATCTTACCGGGGCTGCATGGGGGTCGACACAAACCGCCTGTCTTCCTTCTGGCATGGCTTCTATAGTCCATCTTTATTCTCAACACACATCCAACCCACTCTTATGCCTCTTCTCATAACTTGAATGCACTCCAGCGCTTCATCCAGAACACTGATACTGGGGGGAATTTTACACCGGTGTAATCGTATTTCACATTGAAGCAGAGCCCTCCCCTGCCCAGGTGCTGTCAGTCAAAACACACACGCCTTCAAAGCCCACAGCAGATCAATGACAGCCACCAGCGGCAGAGGATATGGCCGAGAATGTGAAGGGGAACTAAAGGTTAAAGAGAGAGAGAGAGAGAGAGACAGCGAGAGAGCGAGAGAGAGAGAGAGAGAGAGAGAGAGAGTGCGACCATTGGGAGACGTGGGAACACTTGCTGACGGTATCGTGTGGGGGTCACAGTGCAGACAGTAGAGATATTACACATATGCGGTGTATGGTTACGGGCAGCGGGGGTCAGGGGTAAGAACAAACCAATACTGGATATCCCAGAGCAGTCACATTTCACAGCTGATCACTTCAGCATCTCAGGGCCTGTTTCAACCTGCATTTAAGATGCGTTTTTGATGATCTGATCGAGACATTTTAATCAATTCCATTTTAATTGAATTATTTACATGATGCACTGTGATTAATCAAAGTATCAGATATTAATACTGGCTGAGAAAAGCATGCACGTAAAATAATAGTAAAAGTTTAAGTATGTAAGGGGTGTCTGATACTGATCAAAATTTAAAAAATTTAATTTTGAGAGGGGGGGGGGGGGGGAA